AGCGGCAATAACGCAGGGCCCTAGCCACACCTGCTTCGGATGTGGGAAGACTGGACACATCCGCCGAGACTGTCCTAACAACAGCAATTTAAGAAATGGAGGAACAGGAAGGATGTTGACCATGGGTCAGAGTGAGGCCATTCAAGACCCCTCTGTTGTTACCGGTACGTTTCCCTTAAACCATGCTTATGCATGCATCTTATTTAACACCGGAGCGGAGCGAAGCTTCGTAAGCAATAAGTTTAAACATTTATTAAAACAACTACCCCAAAAGCTAAATGAAACCTATACGGTGGAAATGGCCAATGGGAAAACCGAATCCACTGGGGAAATCTACACCGGATGTACCCTAACTCTTAACCAACACGTCTTTCGAATAGATCTAATGCCAGTGTCAATTAGGAGTTTTGATGTGATCATCGGCATGGACTGGTTAAGCCCCTACCATGCCGAAATTATGTGCCATGAGAAGGCCGTTCGTCTTCGTCTCCCAAATCACGAAACCCTAGTAATTTACGGAGACAAATCTAGCATGAACCTTCGCCTCGTTTCGTGCATCAAGGCACAGAAATATCTAAGAAGGAACAATCTGGCGTTTCTGGCTCACGTGGTGGATAAAACCAAGGAGGAGATTAACGTTCGAGACATTCCCGTAGCATGTGAATTTCCGGACGTGTTTCCTGAAGATCTTCCGGGAGTACCCCCAGAAAGACAGGTCGAGTTTCGAATCGACCTTATTCCAGGAGCAACTCCTCTCGCTAAATCACCCTACCGGCTGGCTCCTGCTGAGATGCAGGAATTATCCAGTCAACTCAACGAACTTTTGGACAAGGGATTTATTCGACCTAGTTACTCGCCATGGGGAGCTCCGGTGCTCTTTGTCAAAAAGAAAGACGGATCTTTTAGAATGTGCATCGATTACAGAGAATTAAATAAACTCACAATCAAGAACCGCTACCCACTCCCACGAATCGATGACCTATTTGACCAGCTCCAAGGAGCTAGTTATTTTTCTAAAATAGATCTACGGTCCGGATACCACCAACTCAAAGTCCGGGAAGAGGATATTCCAAAAACCGCTTTCCGAACTCGCTATGGACATTATGAATTTGTCGTAATGCCCTTTGGTCTAACAAATGCCCCTGCCGCATTTATGGACCTAATGAATCGAATCTGCCGACCGTTCCTCGACAACTTTGTCATTGTTTTTATCAATGACATCCTCATCTATTCTTGAAGCAAGGAAGAACATGGCCAACATCTCCGACAAGTCTTAGAAACTCTGCGATCAGAAAAACTTTACGCCAAACTCTCTAAGTGTGAGTTCTGGCTGCGAAGTGTGAACTTCCTAGGTCATGTAGTCAGCCAAGATGGAATCCATGTGGATCCCTCTAAAGTCCAGGCTGTAGAAGGATGGGCAATCCCGACAACACCCACAGAAATTCGTCAATTCTTGGGATTAGCAGGCTACTATAGGAGATTCATTCAAAACTTCTCTAAGATCGCCAAGCCACTTACCTCGCTTACGCAAAAGGGCGTACCATTCAAATGGGCAGACAAACAAGAGATTGCGTTTCGAACCTTGAAACAAGCTCTCTGTAGCGCACCTGTACTATCTCTGCCTGAAGGAACGGAAGATTTTGTAGTCTACTGCGACGCGTCAAATCAGGACTTAGGTTGCGTTCTCATGCAACGTGGGAGAGTGATCGCCTACGCTTCCCGCCAGCTAAAGATGCATGAAGTAAACTACACGACCCATGACCTAGAGTTGGGAGCTGTAGTCTTTGCCCTAAAGATTTGGAGGCATTACCTTTACGGTACAAAGTGCACCGTCTTCACGGATCACAAGAGTCTCCAACACATCTTAAACCAAAAGGAGTTGAACATGAGGCAACGAAGATGGGTTGAATTGTTAAACGATTATGAGTGTGAGATTAAGTACCACCCAGGCAAGGCCAACGTGGTAGCTGATGCCTTAAGTCGGAAGGAGTACTCTAATCATTGTACGAAAACTCTCTCGATAACCGTTCAATCGCACCTGGCCACTCAAATTGCGGTAGCCCAGTCAGAGGCCATGAAGACGGAAAATAGAGCAAGTGAAGCATTGCGCAGAATGGAAAAGAACCTGGAGACAAAGGAGAATGGAGTATACTATTTCATGAACCGTATTTGAGTTCCTAAATTTGGAGGGTTTAGAGATGTTGTCATGAAGGAAGCCCACAAGACGCGATACTCCATTCATCCCGGTTCCGATAAGATGTATTTGGATATTAAACAACACTATTGGTGGCCTAACATGAAGGCGGAAATCGCGACCTACGTCAGTAAGTGCCTTACGTGCACCAAAGTAAAGGTGGAATATCAAAAACCCTCAGGATTGTTACAACAACTGGCAATCCCTGAGTGGAAATGGGAAGGGATTTCTATGGATTTCGTGACCAAGCTACCCAAAACGTCGGATGGATTAGACACCATATGGGTAATAATTGATCGACTGACGAAATCTGCCCATTTCCTGCCAATCAAAGAATCGTACAAGATGGAGAGATTGATGCGTTTATACATTCGAGAGATCGTGAGACTTCACAGAATACCAACATCTATCATCTCGGATAGGGACAGTAGGTTCACGTCCCGATTTTGGCAATCACTCCATAAGGTGATGGGAACAAACCTCAATATGAGCACCGCTTATCATCCACAAACGGATGGTCAAAGCGAGCGAACCATCTAAACGCTCGAAGATATGCTCTGCGCATGCGTCATAGACTTTGGAAAGTCTTGGGATACCCACATACCCTTAATCGAGTTCTCATACAACAATAGTTACCATTCGAGCATCAAGGTGGCTCCTTTCGAAGCACTGTACGGGTGTAAATGTAGATCACCATTATGTTGGGTTGAAGTAGGTGACACCCAACTAGCAAAAACACACACATCGGACGAAGCACTAACGGGACCGGAGATCATCCGTGAAACCACGGAAAAGATCATTCAAATCAGAGCTCGATTGCAAGCATCGCGTGACCGATAAAAGAGCTACGCTGATAAACGCCGAAAGCCCTTAGAATTTCAGGTCGGTGATCGAGTACTGTTGAAAGTCTCGCCCTGGAAAGGAGTCATTCGTTTTGGGAAGCGGGGAAAACTAAATCCGCGATACATTGGACCTTTCGAAATCGTCGCCCAAATTGGTCCAGTAGCATATAGACTGCAACTACCCATAGAGCTAAACGGTGTACACCCCGTGTTTCATGTCTCTAACCTAAAGAAGTTCCTATCAGACGAAACCCTTGTCATTCTTCGTGACGAAATCGAAATCAATGAGAATCTCCTGTTCGTCGAAGAACCAATCGAAATCATGGACAGGGAGGTGAAGTGTACTAAACAGAGCCGCATCCCAATCGTGAAGGTATGGTGGAACGCAAAGCATGGACCAGAATTCACTTGGGAACGCGAAGATCAGATGAGTCAAAAGTACCCTCACCTATTCTAGCATTCTCAAATCTAGCTTTCAAACAGAATTTCGGGACGAAATTCCCTCTAACAGGGGGATGATGTCACAACTGGAAATTTTGTGTCTTGTAAACTATACACTCAAGCTAAAGTGAATCAAAAGCTTAAGAACATGTGTAACACCCATGATTGTAACAACAAAATTTCAATCAAATACACCATACGATCATTTCAAATGGTCAACAAGCAATTGGAAACCCTAGAAGTTCTTACTTAGGTCCACTTTGGACTAGAACTTCCTTATTGGGCCTAATAGACCAATAAACTTCCAATTTGACTATCTTGGGTTTAGAACTCTTAAATGGACTCTAATTGGACCCACATCTATTTGTTTCAACATTTTTGGGCTATGTTGGACCTAGAATGAAACGAATTAAAAGCCTTGATACATGAATAACCTAAACTAGTCCAATAAAAATATAAAAATCCTACCACATTTCTTTAGACTTAAAACATACCCAAGATTAACTCTAATAGTGGGCTTAGGGGCAAAGGCCCAAATTCTCCCTTTTCCTTCCAAAAATCTCGGCCCAATGCACAAGCCCAAGAGGATGGAAGAGTTGACTTGTGTGCCACATCATTATTACCTATTGGATATCCATGCAACTCATCTCAT